GATTCATCGTGAGTTTTGTCAGCAGCGTCGCCGCATATCGTTTGGTGTTTGAAGAACCAACGAAGCTCCGGCGCAGCATCGAGTAACCTTTAACCATTCCCTTATCTATAGCCTATTTCTTTGCTTCTGTTGGAGCGATAAGCGTTTTTTTGGACAATAAATCAAATGCCAAGCGCAGTGTTTATTTGGCTAAACTTCAAATTAAGATACCTACCATTGAACAGGACTACATCGTTCTTTATGGCTTTTAAGATGACATTGCCTAGTTTTATTCCTTTATCTATTTACTTATTTAGTTATATTTAGTCCTAAGTACCTTTTTTAATTATTTATTTGCTTATCATTTGATCTAAAAATTGTGAAAGCTATTCTTATTTTTTTCCTTTTTTTACTTGAAGCAATCTCTCCGGGAACAAGTTGAAGACCTTTCCTCAATGCACCTTCCATCTTCCAAACTTAGCAAAGATGTATGTATATAGCTTGGATTTGTTAATATATAAATACCAATAGTATAATGTAATATGTATCTTACACTGCACAATATCAACAAGGAACAGAGATCACGACAGCCTTCGCGCCTCCTTCCGTTCGTTTAATTTAGCCCCCATTCCCTGAAACAATTTTTTTCTCCTCAGAGATTTGTCACGGAACATGTTGAAATCTATACCTGTGAATGCGTTCCAGAATTTGACGAAACTAACGTACTTGTAAGTAGATAACATGTAATCAAGGGTAATTATAACTAGACAAGAAAATAAGGATCTTTAGATTCTGCGGCATAGAATATTTTTCGATCACACATCACACAGTAATGTATGATAGTAATCATTTGGTTGTATAGCTGAAGGGGAGAAGTTTAAGTTGTAATGTTTCGATGACTAGTGTGATTTTACGCTCGAAAACTAGACTGTATTAATAGCTTGAGCTGAAGGTTTCATCATAGTAAAGAACATAATTGAAAACAGGTAATTGAAAAATTATGTATAAGCATCTGAAAAATCTCACTCAAGAATGTCAAACTACTCATTGGATTCGCCATTGTAAGACGCCATGAGCCAATGGTTGTGGGGAAACCTTTAGAAGGATCCCAAGGATGAGAGAAACCCTCAAGAAGATTTGTACACATCAAGGGTGAACTGTAAAATATTGTTTTCGGCGAGCCGCTTTAAGGAAATACACTATACAATTAAACGTGTTTTTAGCCTCTTGAAGGAAAGGCATTTGAATTTGTGAAGCATCCAAAAAATGTCCCTTGTCGTAGAATTCCATCTATCCCTGACCTCTTCGCTACCTCAGACTATGAACTCTGCTAGAACCATGTTCTGAATAAATTTTTACTCCTAATTCTGTTTTGACTCATAGACGTAACGTTACATGACTTTTTAAATCATAGACGTTATAGTGCATTGCTTTCTCGTCAGAGACCTTGGAGGGAACCTTTTGGAGCATATTCCTCCGAGCGCATTCCAGAATTTGAAGAATCTAAATAATATGTGCGTATAGTGATTTTAATTTGCGACAGATACTATGAACAATATTAGCCAGAACATTATAATCTAGAAAATGAATTGAGGAAAATAAGAAATGCGACAAATCTATTCAGGGTACGCCATGAGAAATTGTGGTTTCATAAGGCTTCCGAACAGTAATTTTGGGTACAACATTAATATAGCGTCCCTCTCCCCTCCCCCTCCTCTCTCCTTATCTATAGAAGATGAGCTAAACTGTGGTATATTTCACGGAATACAGAAACCTTTCTTAATCATGGAAAGGACAAAAATAATGGCGATACCATATTTTGTAAACATGAGCTCATGCGACAGCAACATGCATCCATGGGCGAAGAGTAGAAGAAGGACGAGTAATCAGAACATAGACGTTACTGTCAGTATTTATTTCATAATAAACTAATTAACTATGTTTAGTTTGATATAGCTAATTTAGCACTTTTAATTCCCAGATTTCTATGGGGCAACTATATTTCGCAGAGTGCCTTCAAAGTGTTCTCAAAAGAAATAAAAAGCGCCGTGCACTTGTAAGTATGAACATCAAAACTGAATTCAAGACAAAGCAACTTCCTTTGCTCATTCTTTAGTTGCCGTAACTTTGGGCGACTTTGGGCGATTTAAGGCGACTTAAAGCAATTTTATTTAACCTAAATGATAAAAGCAAAGTTATTAAAAGTCTCTCCATAAACCTTAAAAATATTTACACAACCCCCCTTGCAATAAAGTCAATAGTCATGATTAGAGTGGGATGAATGGGGTTAATTAAGAAGGGGGAGCCCTTATAACATTGCGTAACCAGTAGCAACTTAAGACAAGTTAAGGCGACTTAAGGCAACTTAAGGTCCCAAAATAGGCCTGTTCTAGTTATCCTTAACGTTCTCGATATTTTTGTTGTTTTCTACAAAAATGAGCAGGAAGATAATTGATAGAAGATGAATGCATTGTTTTCACCCGAGATAACAAAGGATCGTGCCATGAGAATAAAAATCGCTTTACCACAACGAACTTCATGCCTTATAACAATTAATATTCCATTCAATCGGTTAAATAAAATAAGCTAAAGGAAAATTAACAGTTTAAACGTGGAGAGACACTTAGCTAGAAGCTAGTGTACAGGTTTTCCACGAAACAACTTAAACAAATCATTCAAATAGAAAATAACGTTGTTAAGAAACCCAAACTGGCCGAAGGCAAACCGGTTGGCTATATTACAAGCATGGCCGAGGATTCGAAACTCGGGGCTACCGTAAGAAAAATTCGAGTAGTGGTCAGGGCGGGACTCAAACCCGGGAGCGGCGGATCACAAGTCCGACACGAAGACCACTCGACCATGCTGCCTTCGCTTGATGAGGAACAGCAGTATGCAGTCAGAACGTTGCGATCTTAGCTAAAACAACATTGCTATCTATATACTAAAAGTGACTTTCTATCATCTCTCCAGAGATCTCAGTGGAAATCCGATCGGATCTAACTTAACTTCGAATACTTTTTCTGGTTTTAACAATATGGAGGAATTGTAAGTTAACGAATATAGATTATTCCAGGAACGATTTTTATTCACGAGTTGCGATGCATCAAAAAAGAAAAACGAACGATGCATCGGCTGCAACAAAGGAATAACAATTCGGTCAAGCACAGTCCATTTAATTTCATACACCCTTAAGTTTTTTTTTCATACTGGCTGACTTAAGTCATATACATTGAAAGCGAATGACTGTCAAAATACATCGTTCGTCTAATCAAAAGCAAAAACGATGGCACTTCGCAGTGAAAATCTCAACAATAAAAATAAACGGATGAACGCATCTTACTACAAGTAATTCCACAAAAATCTTTATAGAACTAATGCGGAAGGTAGCAGTAAAAAGACTCGACAGATTTCTGAAGGGGACGAGTCTCCATTGTGTTGAAATTTGTTCGTGCACAAAAATGGATTATGTACTTATTGATTGAGTGGGAGGGCCGAACGAGAATATAGTTAAGAGCCAAGTAGTTTCCTGTTGAGCCCGTCTAAACCCTGTCAATAAGCATTTTATCATAAGACAAATAATTGTTTAAAATTTCAACGTAAATAGGACGCGATAGACGGGCACACGCAGCCACAGAACATGAAAACCCTTATTAGTCCATGGGCCAGAGCCACTCGAATGTACCAATTCGAAGGACCAGTCGAGAGTGGTACGGATTTGAAGCTTGTCCGAACGTCATTCCAAAAAGTCATGATATCAATCTAGAATCGGTAGCTTTTTTGTATTTTTGAAGCCTTGAAATGTCGTCAAAGCCCGGTTTTGCATGAAAACTAGGTTGAATTTTAAGAGCGCTATAGAACTTATTTTTCGAAGTTAAAACTTTATTTATGGTATCATAATTTAACAAAGAAGCGTTATATGTTGCTCTTAATTATTAACTATTGATGTTATCGTTTTACCATTTCAATACTGTTGGGACCACAGTAATTGGCTATCGCTGTTGTGGTTGACTGCCCGTTATTGTTGTTATTGCTATTTTATTTTATCCAGTCATGTTATAGGTTGTATGTATTGTTGGCGAAGCTAATAAAATAAAATAAATTAACCCAAGGCCAATCCTAGTAGAATTTATCGGTGGGTTTGTATCTTTTGCGAAAAAGATAAATACACCAGGAATTCTCGCACGAGGGAGAAACTGATTCAGTGTGTGGATATGCGCGTCGATGAAAAAATCAGGAAGGCTGCTGTAGGAAAAATGATAACAGAATCCTGGCTGTTGTTTCTAGAAAACTTGTGGCTGCTGAAGCATGTTACCATAAGTCATGCTATCGCAATTACACCCAAAATAGCCCTTTAGGTGGCGATAAGAAGGACGACAAGGAGTATATCTAATATCCCCGTATCGAATTGCAGGGGTTGGAGAAATTGGTCAACTTCATTAGAACCGATTTGCTACAAAATCCCAGGATTGGGAGATTGAGCGAAGTATATGCCCTGTTTTCCACTCTTTTGAACTCTCAAGGAGAATTGGAAATATCAGAATCCACAAGAACCCATTTCAAAAGAAGTCTCGAGAAAGAATTTAGAGATGCTATTGATTTTGAAGATCTATATGGGAACAATCGAATTTTTGCTATTCCAAGAGATCTTTCAAGACTGGATTTGGCCAAGCAAGTGACAGGGAAGAGTAATATTATTTCGTCCAGCACTAGCGATATATCATTAACCGCCTTTAGCCTAAGAGAAGCAATCCAAGCCCAAGATACCGAAGCCGCATGGCCTCTAAAACCATCTGACTCAACCGAAAATGCCGTGAACATCCCAGAGGTACTGAAAAAGTTCTTATATACTCTTGACGGGTAGCACTAACTTTTCAGGTGTGGAATCTTGTTCGCCAAGAACTCATCGCCTTATGCTGTCGTAGGACAAGACCTGATATTTGCTATAAGTGGTGGACGTAAGCTGGTTTAATTTTGGAAGTAACAGAATGTTTTTATCTTCTTGTAAAACTGATGCTTGAATCGTACGAAACTAGTATGAATGGTGTTCTGCGATGGGTACATAAAGGGCGGACTGCCTTAATGACTTAAGGGAGATCATTACAGCCTATAGCTAATCAGATTACATCTGATGTAATTAACGACTGATGTAAACGCTCTTTATAACTGATACTATTCTATTTCGTCAAAACGACATACAAAATATTCGGCGAATATCGCAATGGGGTTAAACAAGAAAAGTATTCTGTTTCCTTGGGAACAGTTTCCGTGGTAACCAAATCAGTTAAATAATTTTTTAAATGAACAATCAATCGCGTACCATAAAATATCCAAGTATAGTTTGACTTCTGCTAAATGGTAAAAAGATACGAGTTTTTCGATGTTTGTCCCTATTTCTAAATAGCAGTTTCTTGGCAACCACTGACATTCACTGTGAAGCGATATTTCACGGATAACACTTTATCTTGTAATATGTTATGATTTGAATTCTTATTAAATTGAAACACAGAGTTTGGGGCATTATGAGTACATCAAAGTTACAAAGCAAACTTTATGATTTCGCTAAGCGTAAAAACAAGCACTCAAAGGCGAAAAATACCGTTTATACGGTATTCGTTACCATGGCAACGAAGTAAACACACGTCACTTGCTGGAAAGAAAGGTATAATAGATGTACATAACATATCCAAGAATCACTTCGTGCGGATATCATGGGCCAAAAATATCATTTTTTTAATGTCGAGCATTATGCAAAAATACCCAAATTTTTTATCCTACTGGATACCCATCCCCTTCAAATTTCAGCTCATTTCACCATAAAAGTTATCTATTCAGCGTTGATATCGTGGATTTTCATAAACCTCAATAAATTTAGATTTAAAAATCCACGATAGAACTGGACCCTCAAATTGGTACAAGAAACCCTATTTTAGGGGTTTGGTCCATGGACTATATACCTTAAAAGACACGACTCTTCTAATTCAAACCTTTTTCTTTAAGTTTTTTGGAGCAGAGCGATGTAAGGACGGCAGCGCCTGACCACTTTTTCAGGACCGGCTCAAGTCAACCCGTTCGGCCCTGCACTAGTCAGTTTTTACTTAATGTGGTTTTCCGTGGGGTTTTGCAAGCGGGGCTGGACGATGACAACTATCTGTTATCTGCTCTTATTCGTGCGACATGAATTTACGCTTGCATACTTCTGTGGTGTCCCACAGATAAAATATTTCTTGCTCATGCAAATTCTCTATTCTTTAAGATTTTTGACCTCTTGTGGCCTTACAAACATTGATGGACGAACTTTCAAAGCCATCAAAAAGCTCAGAAAACTGTAAGTTTGACTCTTTACAACAAAAAATGTACGCCTTACAGTTTTTCTTTTTATAGCTCAGGTTATATTAAAAAAAAATCAGCATTTCTTAATCGAATCTACATTTCAGTGCAGGAAGACTACTTTTGGCATTGCCATAACTTGTTGTTATCTTGCAGTTTCCTGAATTTTAACTTCCTATCGCACTTACTAATAGCCACCCTTGAAGGACCATCTGGGCTTGAAACTCTGTAAGTCACTTGAGATCATTTGATTTTGTTGAGAATAAGTACAAGCCTTCAAACTTGCCGATTACTTGTGATTTTATTTGCCTTCTGTAACGTCATTTTATGGTCAAATGAATTGGTCTATTCATCATCATTTTTCTCCAAAACTCCTGTTTCTTCAGCTAGTTTAATTGTAGATAGGTTTCGTTACAGCCCTTGATCTACGTTGCTTTTCATCTTCGTATACTTTCACAGCGCGGCCGGAACGTGATTTTGGTATCTGCTACTGCATACATAATATGGGACTCGCTTACCACGAATGCGCGCTCCAGTATTCCTCGCCTCCATGAACACCATCAAGTCAAAATCTATATCTATTTTAATGCATTTATCAATATCCACAGTTTTAACTGCTTTGTACGGTTTCGTCATCGAGTATAGGACTAAAATTTCCCGGTTGCTCCATCAAATTATCTTGCGTTGCAGTCGGACTAGCAAAATCCTCAGTATAGTCCATCTACGCAACGGTTCCCAAAATAAGCCTCTTCTAATAACCTGCAGTCTTTGCAAATATTTTTAATGAGCTAGTTTCTTACGCGCTTTGTAAAATTCCCTTGATAGATATCGTTTACACAAGTTTCACTTATTTAACATAGGCGCCTAGATGGAAATCAAATTAGGACAATAGAGGATGGAACATTCAAGCGCTTCACGAGCCTTCTTGAATTGTAAGTAAGAAATGACATGTTGATTGAAATAACAATGCTTACGTATGCATAGTGAATTAGAACAAGAGCCATGGCTAAATGTCTTGAACCATATGACTAGCTAATTCTTAGGTGCCGCATGGCTAAGACAAGTGGCGCCGCACTCAATTTGAATGACTCGCGTTGAGATAAGTCTCAACCCCAATTTTATTTTAAATCTTCTATTGGTTGCTTTGTTGTAGATGTGTTTGCCTATTTCATCATCCATTGCTTTGAAGTTACTTAAAAGGAAATTTGACTGCTAAACCAAATATTTCACGATATCATTGTTTCGAATATCCAATGAAGACACTTTTATTTTATCTTCTTCTTGTATTGTGGAAAATTGATTGATATTATATTCCAGCTTTCACTAGTATGTTATTTGGATTTACGTTTTAGCCACTTAGATGACAATCAGCTGAGAACTGTGCCCGATCTACCTCGACTTAAATTGCCTGGATTTGTGTAAGTTGGGATTGTTCTCGCCAAATCACCTGCACTAAACACCGGAGTGTCATCTGCATTTGACTCTTTCATTCAAATCCAAACCTGCAGCCTTTTTCAGTTCCAAGGAAAGTCTCCACACCTCACGAGAAAAGGGAAGAGGGTGAATTTGAGGGTGAGATAGAGTTGACCAACCAGAATTAAAAATCCGATATTCCTTCAAAGTTTACAAAAGGCACTGTGTGCTAAACCAATTTGACGTGACTCTTTACGTTATTAGCTAGAGAAAAAAAGCACAAATCTAAATGATACGATGAGAGGAATCTGAAGCATGTCACACGCATGGAGTTCTTTAATATGGGAGCCTCATGATCGCAAGGTTGGACAGCTAAATTAAAACCGTTGGTTTAACTGAATGCATATTAAGGTAAGGAGTGTACAGATATTACTTAAGCAAACATTCAATCTCGCTGTGAAAAATACTTTTATTGTGTTTCAGGTTTCTCTCCAAGAATCACATCGAAAAGCTTCATAAGAACGACCTCCAATGCTCACCAATGCTGTTTGGTCTGTAAGCTCAACAAAGCTCCCTTTCTTAAAATATAGACAAAAGGAATCACTCTCAATTGAGTGTTGGGGGCTTTTAATCCAAGAATTGCTGAGGTTTTGGCCCTCAAAACTCGAATCATATTTGCACTTGAGGATAAAATAAACCCTCAAGGGCCGATCTTATTATTTTAACTAAAGTTTCCAAGAAATGCTTTCGTAAAAAATATTGAAATGCATGCGAGTTATTTATAAAAATCGTATCTTCGAACGGAATTCTTTGGCCTGCCAAAATGTGAATCACCAGTAATAACATGTCAGCATATATGACTCTCGATGAGTTTCTTGTAGTTAAACATCTTAGTCCTTGAATTTCATTCGCGTAAATTTGCCCTGATCTCGGTTTCAACATGGAAATCTTTGCTAACTCTCTTCTTTTAACACTAGGATGTGAATGGAGAAAAATAAAAGGCAGAAAATTCCATTGGTAAAAAAGGAAAAAAGAAAACATAGATATATACATACATACATACTAACTTTATTCAAGATGTAAACAAGCTTATTTACAGGAACAAGTCTTGAAAAGGGAGTTAAGAGGCTAGCACTATTAATTATAAATAACTAATTAATAATTAAGAATAAGTTAAAAAACTATTAAAAAACATCTTGAAAAGGAAGTTATGACTTTAGCCCTATATTGAAATTACCAAACAGAAATAGAAAATGCTAAATAAAAACATAAAATACAATTCCATCCTTCAAAAATCTAGGCGTAAATTAAAACATGGTTCTAGTTTAGAATTTATTAAGTTTATGATGATGAAGCTTGTTTTTAAAATTATGAAGGCTTTCAGCCTGTATTATATCTCTTGGAAGAACGTTCCAAGAAGAAATTTGACGCGGAATGGCGAAAGAATCTCACTGAAACGAATCAAGACTCGTGGTTTAGGCCATCTTCCAATACACCTATTGTGAGAGCATTTTCCATGATAATCTCATGAGTGCATCAAACCTCCCTAATGTTTTACTCATATGACTAAGGAATTATTGTTCTGATTTATTTTGAAACTGATGTAAGTATATTTCTGAAAAATTTACAATGAAATCTTCTGCAATTATCTATTCGATACATCAGTCGACCCTCAGCGATAGTCGGTCGACCCTTGGTCAATAGTCGCTTGATAGTCGGTCGATAGTCGGTCCATAGTCGTTCGATAGTCGTTCAATAGTGGGTCGATAGTCGGTCGATAGTCGGTCGATAGTCGGTCGATAGTCGGTCGATAGTCGGTCGATAGTCGGTCGATAGTCAGTCGATAGTCGGTCGATAGTCGGTCGATAGTCGGTCGATAGTCGGTCGATAGTCGGTCGA